AAGACACCACATGCAATGGGAAACATTTCAAACAATGACTACGGATCCCGTCTCATCCTCCAACTGTGGAGGATGACTGTGGATGTTGCAGGCCGTCTTGAGATCATCGTACCTAGGTAGGGACGACGAGTCTGCATCGTCCAATCGAGAATTACTAGATTGTAGAGTACATTGTTGCACGGACGTTTGCGATTGAACCACCGTATATGGTATCTCTCGTCGTTGCTGTTCACTCATTCCAGAAGTATCGACTAGCCCAAATTCCAAGTGTCTGGAAAATCAGCCATTGTTTCATTGTTTTACGTTATGCATTGTGCTACACAATGAAGGAAATTTATTAATTTTGTAGGAACTTCGTTGTGTTATAATTATTATATAAATTGGCTTGCATAAATTATATTCAAATTATTTCATTCACACCAGAAGTAATTAGATTAGTATACTTTACATAGTAATATATAGAGTGTATTTAATATATACACAAGTTTTGTTTAATTTGGAGGAAGAAATATAATACAAAAACTTTGTGCAATTTTTAACATTAATATTTACAGTGATCTTTTTCTAAATTAAATTATATTTATATTATATTTATATTGAGCAGGTAGACAAAAATTCACTTTTCATCATTTGGTTTTCATGCATTTAATAATAATTATGTGCTATTATAATAAATCAAAGATTTATACAATATAATGTAATATATCACAAAATGCTTAATATTATACTTACCCTCCAAATCAAACAATTTTTTCAGACGTCTTTTTATTCAAACCGAACTGACACGAGAATAAAAATTAAATATTTAAAAAAAACAATTATTTCAATATTGTATTATAGTTTCATAAAGAAAACGTACTTCCTAAGCTCATCTGGCAGTGGTTGCTTTTGAGAAGGACTCCGGTGTCTACTTCTATGCCTTCTTCTTGGCTCTGTATGACTTACCTATTGAAATATTCATTATTTTACAACAAGAAAAAAAACAACTATATAAAAAATTACAATAAGACAAAAAACAAAAACATCATTAAATTATATCGAATTACATCATAAAAATTATATTATCATCGAACTTACAACAGCCCGTTGAACTCCTTCGCCCTTCCGTTTCTGTGCTTCTCTCCATTGTGGTTCAGAATCTACCAATTCGTGTCTGAAAAGATTCACCAGTGTAGTATAAATTCCGAAATGTTTAATGTACCAATTATTATAAGTAACAAATTAAATTTGAATTCGTTCTGCTTGTGATTTTTCATTGAAAAAATGGAATAATATCATGTAGAAAGATTTCGTTGCTACTTCTCAAGCGCATCGTCATTAAAATAATTATCACCTTTATGCGCTCTATGTACCCTACCGTGAGATTATAATGAGCACGAGGGTTTCTTTCTCGTCTTTACGGTCGACGAACTCGTCCAAGACGTTCTGTCAAGATGTTATTTCATTTTCACATCATCGTATAAGGGATCTTTATTGAGTCCATTAATTAATAATTAGGCTGGTGCGCATATAAATGTAGCATACAGCATAGCTTAATTGTTTCAATATACGATAACAAACGTATATTACGAGGCTCATTAATACAGTTAAAATATTTTTTTTCTTTTTAATAATTCTTCGACTTTTGTTAACAATGAAACATAAAATATCAGTATGTAGTTCTATATAAAATGAAACGAACGAGAAATTATACCTAGACGAACGAGAGCTTCTGTGCTTTCTGCGGTGTTTGCGATGACCTGACCTAGTGTCCGAACCCCGTGAAAGCTCAGATTCACAATCAGAATGACGACTGTGTCTTCGATGGCTATGACTATGACTTCTTCTACGATGACCACCACGACTGTGACTGTCCCCTGAACTTTGACTCTCTACGGAGCTACTCCGTCGCTGGAGTCTGCTCAAGAGCTAAAAATAAAAATTAAGAATATTAAAATTCATACATGTTATTTATACCAATTACAATATAAATAATAAATAATTTATAGAGAAGAGAAATTCTAATGAGATAAAAATCACTGTTAAAATAAACTTACTTACTTCATTTTAAATTACTCAAAGTTTAAAAAGTTATATAATAAGATTTTAAAGAAATAGAATCTGTAATGAATCCAATTACAATATAAATAATAAATAATTTATAGAGAAGAAAAATTCTAATAAGATAAAAATCACTGTTAAAATAAACTTACTTACTTCATTTTAAATTACTCAAAGTTTAAAAAGTTATATAATAAAATTTTAAAGAAATAGAATCTTGTAATGAATCACAAACTTGTTATTTAATCTAATCTATCAAAAGGAATAAAAATATGTTCTGAGAAATCAGCTAGAAAATTTAAAGAATAATATATAGAGACAAACATAAAAATATGAAATAGAATAATCTCATTCACCTCATCTAATGTAGAACGTTGAACTTGAAAAATAATTTTCTAACTATCCACCTATCCATTTCCCATTTATCTTTTCTACATCTTTTCTTCTACATAAAAGACGTATATAACAAAGTGTTAACAAAGAAGAAATGCGTGTAAAGAACGTACTGCCGGTGCCGTTCCCGCGGAGCGGACGGACCGAGGACTAGACGAGGTATAAAGGCCACGAGGTTGGCTTTGAGTCCACGGCGCGCTCCTGGTGCTCCTGGGACTCGAATTATTCACCTGTCTCGCGCTTTGAGTATTACACAAAACATTTCCGCTGATCGGATTGCTGTTCGAATTCGAGTTCACCGTCGCGGGCGTTTCCACAAATGGGCCGACCATCTCTTGGCCCTCGACCACGCGTCGTTGAGCCCTGCGACTGGGTGTCCTCTGGAAAATAGGCGGTGGATTCCGTCTGATCACGGTGTGCTTCTCGGATCCAGACGGCGGGCTGTACGAGCGGAAACGAGAGTAGGGGCTCAATGGTGGCGGACCGGTGGCCATCAATCGAAAGAACGCTTGGTGCTCCAGGCAACACTTCCACAAATGTCTGCATGCACCCTTCGACGGCGTCTCGAAACCGTGTGTCCTCTCCTCGGAGTTCTTTTCACTCACTCTCAGCATGAAGTATCTACCCTGAAAAAAAAGGTTGTGGTATTAGTTGTGGTAGTAATTGTTTGATAGGTTTGGATATTAGGGAAGGGAGAAAGTGATTTGTGAATAGCTTGTGCTTCGAATCACGTGTGACTAATTGGGAGATAAATATAATAGAGTTTATTTTTCATATAATAGAATAATATAATAATATAGTAATTTGGATAATTGCCTGTTGCTCAGTAAATCAATTCTTTATCTATATCTATCAAAAATAAATAAAAATTAATATTCATGCAATTATAAAACAATAAATTAAAATGTTTATACAAATGTTGAGGGATAGTTTAAGTAAATATTTAGAAATATATTCACATTCTGTATTTATTTGGAATAAATAAACTTGGAATAAATTTCTTTACCTTATAATAGATTTTATTGATTCGAGGCCAGTAATAATTTCCCACTTTGGTCTTGTTGCGCAACAAAATTATTCCACTCGGCGTCAAACCCAGAAAATATTCCACGCTATCTTCGCCCTGTGGATAGAGGGATGCGATGTTTTGAGAGATTACAACATCACGTCTCATTAAGAGATCTGTGGCCTTTGTTCGTTCAAACAGGTACTTACCAACACGGGATGCAAATCAACCCCGTACATTTCCAGCCATTTCACTTTGTCCAAATAATTCAGCTCTGCTGCGGATGGTAATTGTCCTCTGAAAGAACGAATTCATTGTTATTTCAAATTACATGATTATTTAACAGTATCGTGTATTCCTTTTTTTGATAAAATTTTGTGGTAAAAGAAAGACTTTATCATCAATTTAAATGTAAATTTGATGTAAGTTGTATAGTACATAAAACAATAATATTTCAATCAAAATTCTTAGATTAAATATTTATAAAAAATAATTATATGAGATAATAATTAATATGAATTATATAAAATAATAATGAATATTAAAAATTATTTCTCATATCAATATTGTTTGAATAATTAATTTCAAATTTTTTTTAGAGTTTGAATGCAAGATTTCATCATATTAAAATATTGTTAAATATAATTTTGATTGAATTTGTATAAAACAAAATAATTTTTAACACCTACACAAGAGTCTTATGAAGTTCCACTATACGATTTTCCAATTCCGTAGTTTGATTTGCTAAGAATCGAAATTCTGTGACGTATCCTACAGAATGTCGCCTTGGATCATAGTCTCCAAGTTCGGCTGGAATCATGAATAAAAATTCATTAGATCAAATAAATCTTGAAACAGCATCTTTGTAATCGTATCAATCATTAACTTTAACATCTCTTAATTTCAATTAATTTCGATTAATTGGAAATAATTTATCACCAAATAATTCGTATTAAATAGATATCTCTTTGCAGTTATATAAATTTTAACTTAAACAATCTTTTTATTTACATTTCAAAAAATAACACATCTGAGAATATATATTACTTATTTCAAAATACTACTTGTATTCTTCAAACGATAATTGAGAAATAATAAAAGATTAGATTAATAAAATCAATATCAATACGAATAATTGTAACCAAATTTTATAATTATTCAAAACAAAGATATTTCATGATCCTCAATATTTTCAACATTCCTAACCACGTTTATACGTATAATTTAATTTACGTACCAAGCTTATGTATTAAACGTATATTTCATAAAATCACGCGTAAAGTAAAAGAAAAATATCCTCGGTGTAACTTGTATATCGTGCACGTAACGGATCACAATTATTTAATGCTTCCTCGTTACGTAATTCCATACATTTTCTTCACACAAGCGTACGATTGCATCGGGCACACGGGATGCACACACGTCCACGATTTATTTTCATGGTATCAAGCAAATCATTCAGTAACACGCATTCCATCAGCCGGATGCTCGCACGCATTATCTACGCTAGGAAGAAAACTACGATAGCACTCTCATCCTGTAATCTATGTAAGTACGCACAACTTGTTTCTCCATCTCTTCTTTTTTTTTTTTTTTTTT